GCTGGGATTGGTGTTGAAATTAATGAATAACTGGTTCTTAGAAGGGACGAAGCGAACTTCAGTCATCTGTAGCGGTAATACTTATCTTGAACCGAACACGCATTTACCATTTACTCGGTATTAAAATACTCATCATTAGAATATCTTATTCCCGAAAAATCCATGAACAATAGCATATTTATCCATAGTAGCTCATGTATTTTTCTTAGTAGTGGGTTTGTTTGCCAAGAAACTTGAGCATTAGCATTTTCTTGAAGGTATACAGACCACAATGGTATAGCCGTTAGTATATTCGCGACTGCCTTTTGTTGTATAGAACTTGTTTCACCTCGGTTCGCAACTTGGTAATATTGGCAGATAGACCTAGAGGAACGCATCTTGTCAGGAGTCTCTAGTATGCATGATAATTTCCAGAAGCAGACCGTGGACTTTGTACGTTTCCCGACGTTTCGCTGGCATCGCAGTTGTCATGCTCAATGAGCCTTGCCATTCTTAGCACCACACCACAACTCGTCAATATGACAAAAATATCGATCCCTTGACCAATTGTCTGCTAAACAGTTGTGGTATCTCTCCTGCTCTGAGCTATTCACTTGGCCTATGTCCTCTTATCACCGCTTCACTATCATAATTTCTTAATTGTTTATCTAAACCTAGTGGATATAGTGAGACCTATTCACATTTCTCGCTGATTCTCTCATCCCCGCACAGGGTTCAGGGAGTGTTGAACTAAGAATACCGTTTAATCCGCAACTCTCTTGACCCAGGCCCTATCAGAAGCTCCCTCTTGCTTCGTGGGATCCGACTCTTTACCTGGTTCGGTGATCGCAATTATTCGCTTTAGCCATAGCTTTGCTACTCGAGGCGCTTTGTTCTAAGCTACACCTCAGACCTTTGATTGCAGTTATACGCCAGCATTACTGAACAACCCCAAAATCTATGCATTCTCATGTACCATGAGAACCTAACTTGACTTTGTAAATTCCCCTATCGCTTTTCGGTATGTGTTCCGAGTTAATTTCGTGGCTTTTACTTTACGGACCACGTCTATGATTAAACTCATCTACATATAGCCAACTATCTATAGTCTCTTCTAGATATCTCGCTCCTCTATACATATTGCCAATTAGCAATTTCTCCTCTAATTTTCATAATTAAAATGAAATTGCAAGGTCAATTTCTCATTTTAAGCACATATTAAGACAATGATTGGTCAAGGTGTAATTAGCCACACCTATAACCTTGAAGTATTTCTAAAATGCAAGCTATTGCCTCCCTCTGTTTGCTTTTTAAATTAAATTGTTTTTGCAAAATATCATAGATACTAAAGATAACCTAATAGTTTTCTCGAAAAACAGCTCTATGCATGTATAAGTTGATGATATTAGTAGGCCTCACGCAGCGTTTTCTTTCACGTTTTTCTTTGGTTAGGCCAACTGTCTGGGTTAAATTAATGATGAAGCTCTTACAATATTTCGCGGCGCCCCTGTAAAGAGGCCGCGGCTCACCGGGGCGCCGCAACGCACAGTTTGGGAATCAATGATTTAAGGATTTTAAGCTTGCTAGAGTTTTTAGCCATATAAATAGGCAAAAAATAGCGTTTTGTCAAAAGTAAATACTAAAAAATCGAATGTTGGTCTTGGCCTTCATATCTATAATAATATTAAGCATAATTGACTTTATTCATCCTCGATTTATATTCATATGCAAATTAAATTAAATTAATTTTTGTGAGTACCTCTATATCTTAAAATGAATGTCTTTGTTATTTGATTGAGTCTATGTTTAGTCAAATAATTTGTCTGTGAAGCATGTTTGTGATTTTCGTTTTACTACACTGAGCTCAGAGCGTTTTAAATCATCACTTATCTTTAATTATCTTCTCCGACAAACAACAAATTAATAATAATTTCGTAATTTTATTGAGTGATAAAAATTATGAATAGAAAATATAACAACAAATTCGTGTTAAGTGTGTTGAAATCTTGTAGCCCTATGCAATAATGTATACTTCGTTTTACTATTTTGGATATCCAGCCATAACTAGGTTTTTAATCATCATTAAATGTATGTACGACAGTATTTTCATTCTGTAATTGCATCACGACCTTCTATATGCTCTTCGATTGTATCCATGTCTATTCAACCTCAAAAAGTTGTTTCTACTTTGTATGTCTTTAACGCGTCGAGCAAGAACAAAACGTGCATCCTTTGCTCGATCATGAATCTGGCGAGTTCCAATAGTCCTAAATTGAAGCGCCCTGTTTCTAATGCAAGTTGCAGCATCATTAAACTTTCCGATACGAGCTCTTTTTTGACAAGGAGAATCGGCTGATCTTGTGTGAGTAGCTGGACAAAAGTGTAGCCATGGTTTACCGTTGTACAGCCGGCGATTAGTCGGACGAGCCCTTATCACACCTTCATCTTTATAGTTTAAGCTTAGATTAGAGCGGGAAGATTTTAAACTATTTGTTTTCTGGTGGCCAACTTTGCATCTCAATACTGGAGAGCTTCGTTTGAACGAGGCTAATCTGGAATCGAACGAAGTCACACAAGGTTTTTTGATGAATTCTGAAGCAATCTGACTTGGGAGCCATCCACTGCGCCGTTTTCCCTCCTTTGATATAGAAGAATTTTCAGTCCATTTTTCTCTTTCCTTGGGTGAATATTGGCTACTGGCAGTAAAAGTTATTTCACTGGATGAGTCTTCTTGATGACACTCAGCCTGCTTGCCTTCAACTTCCCATATCGTAGGTAACCGTACTTCTGTTTGACCTCCCACCGACTTTGGCACAGCATCACTAAGCAATTCGCTTTCCGACTCTGAAAGTATTTCGCCCTCTTCTCCTTCGTTATACTGCACATTTTTATTAAAGTCATGAGAAAGCTTTGCGGTACCTGCGCTATCCTTTTCAACTATTTTTTCATCTTCATCCGTATCCATGTTAGAAGGACTTCTTTTGACAGATATCTCTTCAATTTGTACAAATTTACTTAGTACGAGTGATGTTTGTGAATTCGAAGATATATCCCGTGATATATTTTTGAATTCATTAAAAATTGTTCTACCATTGTCACACTCTTCTTGTTCTTCTTCCTTGGTGATTTTTGGAGTTGCCTTATCTTTGCTTGGTTTGCTTAATATTTCAGTTGATCTATAGCTGGAGCTGCGTGTAGAAGCTTCTTTAATTGACTTTGATCTCAGTCTCAAGCTGGAGGAACGAGTGGAGGAACCACTGCTACTTTTATCGCCACTTGCCACACTACTTGAGCTGCCACTAAAACTTGATCCTGCTGAAGATGAACTACTCCTACTTGTCGATGCTTTTGAAGAACACGTTCGGCTCTGCCTATCAGAATCTTGATGGTAGGTACTCGCCGAGCTTTCTGATTCTGTCCGTTGCCGTATTCGCCTAGCTAAAGTGTTATTTATTTCTCTTGAGATACCATCTCTAAAGCCACTACTTCTGCCCTGTTTAATAGCTGTTTTTTCTTCAGAAATCCTTGGATAAGGGCATTTGAAAGTGGAATTACCACAGCGCCTATAAGACTCATTAGAAGTTCTTTGATATCTCTTAATATTTCCATAATCCTCTGGTTTGTAACTTAATTCATAGTCAGCAAGTGAACAGCTTGATGATGATTGCGAGCGTTGACTATGTTCATTAGTTTTAGGTATATTATATCGCATTCTAGGTTGCTCATTTCTATTTATGTACTCAGGTAGATTTCTGCTGGAACTAACATCTGCATTACTAATATTGCGAGAAGAGCGTGATTCTGAAAAATCTGTATATCTACAATTTCTAGGATAATAAGAGTAGAGAGACAAATGTTTTTGGCACACATTTCGGCTGTCACGAAGCAAATTATGCGATTGCTTATTACTTTTATCGAAGGATGAATTTAAATAATACGAACGTCTTTTTGTTTTTGAAATGTAATTTTCATAATATACCCGTGAACGCGGGTTTACATTTTTTACTTCTTCTCGTTGTCGATTATGATTCAATCCAACTTCAATGCATTTTTCATTGTTATCTAACCTTCTTCTCTGGTTTAAGGGACTGTATGCGCTGTGGGAAGAAGATTTAACTGGCACTGCGGCAGTATTTTTAAACTGATAATATGTGTGTATGCCCGAATGATCCACAGCATAGTTTGTCATATATTTGCCTGGGCAGGAGGATTTTGCAAAATTTGGCAGACAAATTCCATCACGAGATTGACTTTGGTATGATTCTCTCTTATCACCTTGAAATTTCTGCTCAGTGTCTCCAGTCTTTTTATATCGTCTGTGCTGATAGTAATAATATGGGACAAATCTATTGCCACCTTCTACGGAATATGATCTGGCTTCTGGAGAAACGGGAGATATTGGTGACAGATTTCTAGGATCACTTGTCGTACAAACCTCGCGCAGAACTCGTGGCGATGGAGGAGTCTTTGGGCCTTGAAAGGGGCGGCAATCGAATTGTTTCTTTTGAGTATTATAAGAAGAGACATGATGATTTGTAACCACCTCTGAATTAAAACTATTGGGAACTTGAACATTGTTTCTAAATTGGCTATTAGAC